TTTAGTTATCAATTAATTGACTTTTACTTTTTTAACAGGTGGCAACCATCTTAAAAAATACTTTCGAAATATATAGTTTCTGAACCGCTCTCGCTTAACACCCACATTTCTGTAACATTTTGTTTAACTTGTAATTAACAGAGTTTAACTTTTTAAAGAGGTGGCAACTCTCTTCAAGAACTATCTGTATTCCAAACTTAATTGAAATACATCCAGACGTTTTAGCGTGAAAGAGCAACAAACATACTTACTCACAAACTTTGACATTTATAATGTTAGTAATTACATAGGATTAGTGGAATTTAACTTAAATAAATCAACCTGTTGAAATAATGTAATGAATGATGTGTAAAATTCGCGCGAATTTCACCCATCATTAATTACATTATTTCGAGTTATTTTTTCGACATTTTTATTTTTGACATTTTTATTTTCGACAATTTTTTTCTCGACATTCTTAATTTTCTATTTATTTTTCTCGACATTTTTTTCGGTGTTTTTAGTTTCGACGTTTTAAATTTCGACATCGAACCAGACCCATAGTATAATCGTTTGTGCCGCAGAAACAAAAAACAACTACGCACTTTTTAACACCCCCAAAATAGTTTGCTACTTGTAGCAGTTATGCTGTATACCTGAACGAAATATAATCCTTGGTAAAAAAGTGTATTTGTGGATTGTTGTGTATATCCTCTTTATTTATTACAAGCTTTTATTTAACTTGGTCATACAGCAATCCACAATTAAACTTAAGTGCCGTTTAAATATTCATTTGAAATTGGCCCTTAAGGCCCGTTGTTCAATGTCTGATTACACAAATCGGAGGTAGAAGCCCCGGTTAAATACAACAACTGCTTTGTCGATCACATGTTATATGCATGATGCCGAAATCTTCGATAATGATGTACTGGTGATAGCCATACATTGAACAACGGGCACTTAACTTACATGAAAATGCTTCAGTTTAAGATATACTTTACATTTAAAGAACTTTTCTATTTAAAGCGACAGAATAAAATCTTTATAAGAGCTGTTTTCATTATATAAATAAAAATAAAATATGTAATGTAAATATAATAATAATAAATATTTTTTTAAAAACAAGCTTTTATTTAACATGTACAATCAAAGGAGTAAAATAAAAGTAAAGTTTTTTTCGCAAAAGATTTTTAAAACTGCACTAAAATGAATAAAATAAAATAAGTTAAGCTTTCGTCAAAGTTACTAGACGTCATTATGAAAGTTTTACCTCCGGTTTGTGTTAACCGGATATTGAACGGCCCTTAAAGCAAGCGGCAAGGTTTTTTTTTTTTTAATGATGATCCCAACAGTTTTTACCCTCCCTTCCCGCCCATCCGCACGAGAGGCGTAGTCCGCATGACGTACGGAACCAGTATTTTCAATTTTTGCGCCGAACGACGATAGGCACGAGTTTGTTAAATGTCGAGATCTAAAACTGTTCAGCTACAGAACTAAATTCATTTATTTTATGTCCTTTATGTCTTTATTTTAATGATTCATTTATTGAGAGAGGACAGTATCGATTTCTTAATGCTGAAAAGCGGATCTGATATATCAAACGTGCTGGAATGAGAGATAAAATCCTGGCATAAGCAACGGAGTGGGTCGTGCAATTCAAAATTAGTTTTACAAGCTTTCAGAAATAGGGGGCAAAAGCGTCTTGATACCCGGGAGGGATCCGGATTAACGCCGCAATTGATCTGATCAAAATTGTGCCTTGACAGACGGCAGTAATGCGGATGAACGAGCCGCGAGGTCGTAGGTTTGAATCCCACAGCCAGTAGAACTTTCATTTAATTTTTTTTATTGATTCAATTATAACTTCTATACTTTTTAAAGTTGTTTTTGACTTTTTTAATAAAATTAAACCCTAAAAATTTAATTTAACTAATCATAAAATAAAAATGCGAAATAAAATAAAACAAACGAAAATAAAATAAAAAACAATTGAATATATAAATCAAATAAAATTTGGAAGAATAAAAGATATAACAAAAACAAAATTTTTTGGCAATCGCTCCAACCGAGGATCGAACCTGGGACTTACAGGCTTGTAGTATGCAGCTCTCACCACTAGGCTACCGCGGATGAAGGAATCGGTTACTTTATTTGCTCAGTTAGCGCAAAGAAGCTGCAAAACTAGCAAAGACATCCACCCTGTCGTTGGTAATGCAGTCACCGAAATAAGTTCGTATTCATTTTAAATTGGATTCCTATTTGAGTTAGTATGGTGACTGCATTACCGATGAAATGGTATATGCCCATGCTAATTTTGCATTTTCCCTGTATTCTACGCTCTCTGAGTTTTGGTCACTGTTGTCATCGAAAATTCCCTTGAT